TACTTCATTACAGCACTTAAGTAATTTTTTTGAGGATTTGTAATTTTAAGTATTTTTTAATCATACTTTTACTTTGTTACATTTAAAACCTAAAATTGATACTTTTACTTCTTTACTTTCAAATTTAACACCTTGTTACAAAATTAAGTCTAAACTCATCATGAAAGGAGTTGTTTCTGCACTCTAAAAAATGAAGTGTTGAATTTTCTCAACCAAGTCATGTCAACTGGTTCCACTAAGCTCAGTAGAGTGTTTTTGCACTCTCAGGCCAACATTGTAAATAAGAAACTGTTCTTAATGTTTTGCCTGTTGAAATAAAGGTTAAATGAAAAAAAAAGAAAAATATGAGGCATTATACATATTTTCTCAACTTGGTTAAGTAGAACCAGTTTGCTTAACCTCTTAACAGTTGCCCTTGAAATTGCATTAAATAATTTTGACAAACTGAATGTAAGAACCAAAGGAAGTTGTCTGACAACCTAGTCTTCAAAATAAAAGCCCCCAGTAGTGTCTGGAAACGTTTAAAGGCAGAAACTGTACCATTTTTGCCCATCGGTGGAACAAAAAGTGTTAAGGGGTTATATRAATTCTACAGTTATTTTTTAGWGTGTGTAAATGTACTTTTACTTCCCAGTTTTTATGACTTTTACTTAAGTGAAACTTATTTTTTACCAAAGTCATTTTCTGTTAAGGTATTTTTACTTTTACAAGTACTTTATAGACATCTGCCTTTCTAAGGAAGACTTCTTTAAATTTGTTGAGGACTCTCAGTTAAGTGGGAGCGGACTCATGTGACCTGTGTTTACACAGACTTAATGTTGTGACTCCTGTTTGTTGAGAAAAAGAAGACTTTCCCTTTTTAACCTCCCGAACCTCCTCCTGTCACGTCTCTCCTGCGTGGCCGACGTCTCGATGAGTTGGTGCCCTTTTATTTTTTATTTATTTTATTTTTTTATGACAAAGACACCCATTGTGTTATTGCCAAGTGGTGACATGGTGAAATGTGAGTTGCTGTGTATATTGGCTCAGGAATCTGCAGTCACCCCCCCCCCACCGGAGCTCGCGGGATGAGAGGCAGGAGCTGATGGCTGAAGGGCACACACATATTGTGAGGGTGATGAATGAACACGCTGCAGCTCAAGTTCACTCAGAGAAGTAATGAGGTGTTTCTGACACCACTCTGGGTTTTTTAGTCATTTTGACTGTCAGACGGTCTTAAACAGGAGTCGGTGCATTTGTTTCATAAGAACTGAAAACCTTGCATTCCAAGATAAGATGATGATAAATATTAGTAAGAAAAATCAGAATCAGTCTCACAAAAACAAAAGGCCTCCACACCAGCTCACTTTGCTTATTGAGCCCAACTAGTTTAGATGAGATAACGGAGGATAATGGAAGGGGGAAAAGCTGCAGGAGAACATTATCTGTTGAGCCGTAAAACCTGATAGATTAGCTGCTAAAGAACAAAGCGACAGTTAAATTCTCTTTTGTCCTTTGATAAGATGAGCGGCTTGACTTTTCAGCTGTTTCTAATCTGCAAATTTGCTGTTGTGGAGTCTTGTATGTTAATTAGAAGAGACGGGGGTGGGTGCTAATATGTTCCTCAGCTTGTTCCTGGGGTTTGGCTGTGAGGTGGGACTATAGGCCCAGTTTACACCAYGCCAGTTTGGAGTACAGCTTCTCTGCAGCTAAGTTACAGCATCTTACTGACCCCACACAACGTTTCATTTTCAAATTAGTGACAAATTCATTTGTCAACAGTCAAATCTTTAGTTAAATGTAACAATAACTAGACAGTTACATTTTCTGCAAAAAAAATCAGTGTAAAAGACAGCTGCAGTTTTGTAAAAAAGCCAGTTTTTAATGTTAAAGCAAAACTAGCTGAACACAGGCTAAAACCAATAGAACAGTAGCTAAAAGCTAAAGCCACCAAAGCAGATAAAAGATAAAACAACAAAACAGTAGCTAAAGGTCAAATTGAGCTACTTAAAATCTAAAATTAGCAAAATCTATATTTGGTCTGTGAATTGCTGAAATAGCTGAAAGCTTGAATGCTGACTCCGCATACACAAGCTGCCATGTCTTCACAAAATGCTGTTCTGATGCAAAAGCTCTACTCTGCATACAGTTTGAAGGGCGAGTGTGAGGTTTCTGTCTGCCTTTTAGCCCAACATGTCCCCATGCTGCTTCGCATTTTTACATGACAAAAGTGCAGAGTGGAGAAGGAGCCAACAAGAAAAAAAAATGCAGTTTCAACACCTCGAGTGGCGTTATCAGACGCAGGGGGTGAGGGGGTGGGTCTCTGGAGAACATAAAAAAATGCTGCGATAAGGAGGCTACCCGGTGGAGACACACATACTGATGAGTCCCCAATCACACGTGGGTCTAAAAATCGTTATCAGCTTGTAAAGAGAGAACAAAAAGATGCTTGTGATGCGAGTCTTGCTACTGCTGTTTGAAGGTTACTGATTCATGTGGAAGAAGCCTTCAGTCAGGACATCGGAATCCATGTTTAAACCCCTATTCTGCAATAGCATGTGGTGCCAAGTGTAAAATTAAAATTTCACTAAACTATTTTTTCATTATTTAGCTCAGTATTTGAGTGTTAAAATTTTCCCACTAACATTTTATTGTTATTGCTGTTTGTTATTTAGGTATTTTGGAATGGAACGCAGCCTTTGCAGTTGATGCTCGGCTCATGTTATGATGTCATCATCCTGAGACGATAGCAATCGGTAGTGATCCATTGCAGCTAAAGCTTCACTACAAGACATCAAACTTGCAGTTATGGCCTGCGTCTGAGCTGCACTTGCTGGACCAGGGACAACCGATATTGTTTTTCATTAACACGTTTTGAATTTAGACTTTAAACATTATCTTCAGCATCATTAGCAGTGGCCAATGTTGATGTTTGTTGCAGGATGATGACGTCATCCTGGTTATCTGACGCTAACTTCTGCTAACACTTCTAACACWGCYAAAGTTAATATTTAAAATCTAAATTCAAAATGTGTTTGTAAAGTCAGTGTATGGGTAGTACCCGTGGTCCAGCAGTTTGAGGTGCAGCTCAGACACCGGCCATAACTGCAAGTTTGATGTCTTGAAGGGAAGCTTTAGCTTCAGTGGAGCTCTRGTCTCAGGATGATGATGTCATAACATGAGCCCAGCGACGGCTGCGTTCCATTCCAAAATACTAAAATGTGAACTTCAACATTTAAGGTTTAACTTTTAGGATTTAATACTTAAATGCAACATTTAAATTTACCATTTAGTAAAAATGCTAAATGTAAGAACAGTGAGCTAAATAATAAAAAGTATGTTAGTGAAATTTTGTACTTGGCGCCTCACATTAGCATGCATGTGTTTACTGTATATACTAGGTGCAACATGAAAACATGACCTTTAAAGTCAACCACACTGTGTTTTGTCCTGCTAAAAAAACAATTTTTACAGGACTTGCAAGAATAACAAAAATAGACCATTTCTCTTATGGTGTTACGTAACAATAATTGCTAAATACTTATGTTTTTCTATTTGGCTAGCACTTAATTGTATCATAGATTTTTGTTTTCATACACATGCATGACCTTGAACTCCATGTAAGCTTTCTGTGGTTTCTGGAGCTCCTTAAGTCAACAATCATTTCTCTTTCTTTCAAACAACATCAATACGTTCAAAACACACATTCATGTGTATTAGGATGAGAGACGCTTTGTCCTGTTGTGTTTTCAGGTGAATAAACATGCTCAGATAAAATGAAACTCATGGTCATTAGGAATGTCTGCAGCCTTGCATGTCAATGTTTTAAATAAATATTTTGCTAATAAAGCACATATCACACAAGCTGATCAATACAGCAATGGTTGGTAAAGCTAATAAAAATATATTGAAAATAGCTTATTTTGTGTGATTTTATTTATTTGATGTTCATTATGAGCACATATTGTAACGATTTACCCTTAATTGGTAGTTTTACTGATTTGTAATAGTAAAATTAGAAGTTTTTCAATCTAATTGCAATTGTTTGAGGTATTTCACCTTTTTTCGGCCACCTCAGGCCACCCCTTCTGCACGCCCTTGTAACAGATCAGGTTTTTCTTGACTTTCACTCGTGAACCGACCGTTATTAAAGCAGCAACTTTGTTCTTTTATTCCGTGTGTTTTCTGCTCTTCCCATGTTTTTCCAGACATTATACCAAACTGTTGCAACACTACCAGGATAAAAGCACTTATCTTGTAGAGAAGCTGACTGATTGCAGGCTTTTAGTAAATCTAGAGGAATTTGCAATAAGTGTAGAGGGAAAAAAATCCAAGATCAGCAATTCTCCAGCCGGTGGTTTATTGCTGGGATTTGTGTACAATTAAAGAATAATATTCAAGCAGGGAGAAAAAGTGACAAAAAAAAGGAAAAGGGAAAAGTTATGCGAATATAAACCCCAGATCCTTTCATTTCTCTGCTCCACAGAGCTTGAGTGCRATGAACCTGGAGCGCAGCGACAGAAGGGAGCGCCCTTTAACGCGGGGGCTGGACATGGAGGCTCGTGCTGGGGGCAAAATGGGGAAGATGTCGGTGGGCTTCCAGAGGAGCTCCACCTCGGATGACGACTCTGGGTGTGCGTTGGAGGAGTAYGCCTGGGTGCCACCGGGACTCAGGCCTGAGCAGGTAGGGCTTTTCCCTTCCACGATGATGTCATTTGACCACAGATGCACACCTAATCTCCGGCTTTCTGCACATCCTTACACTCATCCCGTTCCCATACAGTTTCAGCCCAAACATGTGAGGGAACCTGGAAAAATAAACACACAACTGGAATTTTGTCAAGTAAAATAAAAAGGTTGTTTGCACAGACAGGCTGTATTTGGGGAATTAGTTTTTTATTTAATTGTGTGTATTCAAGGTGAATATATTCACTTCAACTCAGTCAGAAAATACTTAGTTTTTTCTGCCCTTTTTTCTGCCTACACACACATCTTGTCCAGGTTTCCAGTTCTCCAGTTAAAGGAAATTAACCGAGGCAAACATTAACATTTAAAGTCTCTCTGTCTCCTTGTGTGTGGAGAGATTTCACAGTCAGGTGCCTGTGACTGGATACAGATTGGCATATTTAGCCCGTAAAGTCACAAATGAAGGACACACACCGCCATGCCTGGGTGACTGTGAAAGACGGGTTCCGTCAAAGCCGCTCGACAAAAGCCCTGATAATTTTTTTTCCCTCTTATTTGTTCGTCTGCTTAAATCCGTGCGTGTGTCTCCCAGGTCCAGATGTATTTCTCCTGTCTGCCCGAAGACAAAGTGCCGTACGTGAACAGTCCTGGAGAGAAGCACAGGATCCGACAGCTCCTCTATCAGCTGCCGCCGCACGACAACGAGGTAGAGAAACAGTCAAAAGAGTCACAGAGTCATTGTGGGTGTCTGGAAACCATCTGAAACCCCCTTAGTGAGAAACGAGAGATGACTTTGGGAGGGTTTGGCAACTCAAAGTGAACCTAAGCCCACAGCTGAGCAAACTAAACAGTCTTGCTTGTCTCTTTTAGCTGAAACAATAGCTGCACTCCCTCAACTCAAACAAAATAAAAGGACTTTATGACATTAAAGCACAAACCAGCCTCTCCTGAAGATCGGTTTTATGGTGTGTAAACCAGCCACATCTGGGTTAATGGAGTTTACGTTGGGAGATATGGTGGAGATTTCACCAGAGAGGGAAGGGGAGCTCGTACTGACAGGGGTGGTCTTTGTGTACACATACAGAAGATACACAATAGACACACACAAAATGTGTGGCTGAGGTGTTTTATTACGTTTGTTGGCAGACCTGGTGGCTGAGGAAGTGAAGGAAGGATTCCTTGCATCGCTGTGGTTAGAATGGATAAGCAGTGTGTGTGAGGGAGCTCGCACACCGGCATCTTTTACTGTTGTTTAGAGTACCGCTGAGCTGATTGTTAGGACGGTCCTGGCCTTTTATCTGAGACTTTATCCTCAACTCTAAATACAGAGGAAGGATTTGTGTACTGCTCCTGCCATCCTTTCAAAACAGCCTCGGGGGGTGAATTATCTCTAATTTAACTCTTTTTCCTACCAAATATGGACTTTATGTGATCCTCTTCCCCAAACTTCCATGCAAAGATGAAAGCCTGGTCATTAGCTGTAATGGGTGGATGTTTTAAAGTGATAAYCCCCCCCGACTGCTTGTGGACAAAGATTGACTTTAATTTCCCCCCTTTTTTTCCCCCAACAGGTGCGCTATTGCCATTCTCTCACAGAGGAGGAAAAGAGAGAGCTCCAAATATTCAGCAACCAAAGGAAGAGAGAAGCATTGGGGCGAGGGATACCCAAGATCCTCCCCAGAGCTCTGCAGCACACCCGCTGTGAAAACGTACGCACTCACAGAAATGCGCACACACGCATTCAATAAGATAACAGGTATAAGAGAACCAACTGGTGGGACTTTGGCTATTTATAAAAGCCTAACATCCACTATCCTTTCCACTGCAGCCTGAGGCACAGCTCTGTCCAGCAAGCACAGCAATTTTAATCACTGACTTAAACTTCCTCATTAGAGGAAACGGGATAATCATGTTTGAGCCGAGCAGGGAGGCCAGTTTCTCATGAGGGGTTCAGCCAATTTCCTGCCACCCATCTTTATCACAGCGTGAGAGACTGAAACAAACTTCAGATCAGTTAGCAATTCTTGCACAAAGTCTTAAAGGGGCAATATTATGTGTTTCTCGGGCATACATTTAAATACAATACCATTATAAAATATCTATGTCACCTTTAGCTGTTATTAAAATGCTGTTTTTATGTTTAAATAGAAAATAAACTTATCTTCTCATCCCTTCCTCTTCTAAATGCCTTGAAATTGGCCTCTGTCTCTTTAAGAACCACCTTCCGCTTCTGTCTCGCCCATTTCAGTGCGGGTGGGGGGCTGCCATGATGCAGTTTGCTTGGCATCTGAAAATACATTTCCTCAAAGGTATTTTTAATCTGAAACGAGCCTCACTGAGTGAGTAGTGGAGCTCAGCAGACAGTTTAAGTTTCACTTTCAGTTTCACCCGAGAGCCTGCAGGAGTCATGGGTGGGGTGTGGGG